GTGAAATAACCCTTTAAAAAATCCGAACTTAATGACCCTAACTATGTTTTGATTAAATTAGTTTATTGAACACCCTAATGTATCTAATGTAAATGAAAAACATTGTTCCTCTCCAAAAAGTTAATTATATCATTTTGTATTCATCAAAAAATTTAAAAAACGCAAATTTAGCGGGTTTTCCGCAAATTTGCAAAAAATTTAAAAAGTCATTTTAAGTAAAATTGGTTTACTGTATGAATTTTTCGGTTTTGCAAACAAAAACTGAAAAATTCCGAACTGATTTTGATGAATAACTGGTGAACTTTTAAAATTTGAGATCAGAGCGATTCCAAATTTCTTCCCTTTTGGACATGTAAGGCATTATTTCTCGAAGTGTTTTTTTTTGCATTAGGATGATTTGAAAATACCGATAGATGCTCAGAAAATAGCTTGCTATAATATAAACTTTCATTTTTAGAGAATGATGAACTATTGGATGCGCAAGATATTAAAAATTAGGTCAAAAGTCAAATTGAGAAAGTTTGACATTTTTACAAAATATGGATGCAAGTTATAAAATATTATATACTTTATTTTTATCCTTTATTATTATTATTATATATTATATATATACAGTATATATATATTTAATTTATTTATTAAGTAATATAGATATTACGTAGAGAATAGCTTAGGTATTTTAATTTATCGTCTTGCCTAATTAACCCGGGTTATGTACTAATCAAATGAGGTCGGATCTTTGGTTGAGTCCTTGACAGAGTCTTTGGCCGAGTCTTTGATCGGGTTGATCTGTTCGATTAACTGCACTATTGATGCCACCCAATCTGTATTTTGGATTGGGCTAAGCACTTCCGAGTCTTTATGCTTGTCTGATAACACATTGTATTGTGATACAGCAACAACACTAGAATTCGTACGTTGCGGCATTTTTATAGTGTGACTTGGCCTTTGTTTAGCTGTCAAGCACAATTTATGAATTGTAGGCCATTTGGAACTTGAAGATGGATCTCCAAATAGTCCTTCTTCTGGTATCAATTTTTCCAATTTGTTCAATGTCTGAAATATTTCGTAGACTAATTTATGTGTTTTTTCCACTTGTTTTATAAGACCATTAACTAATTATAAAATTCAGCAAATATATAATTAAACTTATCCATTTTATAAAATATATAATAAAATAGGCAGCTGTTATATATACCTCCCAATTTGTTATTCGTACCCTCCTGTAAATCAAAAATTTCCTAAATTTTTCTAAAGTTTGAGTGAGGATATCTCGACAAACACCAAATCAAATTCGATAAATTTTTCTTTTTTTTATTTGAATTCTACAAATCTGTAGAATTCAAACAAAAAAAATTTATCGAATTTGGCTTGGCGGTTGTTGAGATATCTTCTCTCAAAAAAAATCCAAATCATCTATCAATAGAAACTGTGCCAAAATTTTCTCAAACTCTGAAAGTGTTTCAACAACCACCAAGCCCTTTTTTTTATTTATTTATTTAATTCTACGAATCTGTAGAATTCAAATAAAAAATATTATCGAATTTGAATTGGTGGTTGTCGAGATATCTTCAAACTTAAAAATTTTTTGATTTACAGAGGGTATGTACCAGCCGCCTAAAAATAACGTTTAATAATCTTACCAACACTAATTTGCTCATGGTTTGTTTTTGCTTGTAATTGTGTGGCTGTTATTGATTGATTGATTTGTGCACAATATTCATCCACTGATTTCACTGTATCCATGACTACTCGCTAAAATTATTGAAACTTTTGAGCAAATATCGTTGAATATATCAAAAAGCATATATTCGTATGGTTAACTTTACCTGGTCTTCACAAATTTCGTTAACACATTTTTTTATGTGTGATTGGTAAATTAAGGAAAAGTTGAATAATGACTCAAATCCAAAAGATGCTGTAATGTTACGAAAATAAATGACGCAAACTAATAAAATAAAACGTAATAAAGTGTAGCATTCATAGACAAAGACATACGTTCTTTTTCATGTACCTGTGGTGTTGAACCCCACAGTCCACCTAGCATAAAACCCGTATCAATGTGGGGTTTTATCAATGGTTCAAACTAGAATTTAGTATAGATTAAGTTTGTTGGACTATTTTCAAATATCTAAACTATTTTTCTTTTTCTTCTTACCCTTGGGATATTTTCAAGTTTTACAAGTTCTGGATCCAAATCTTCTTTTTCCTCACCCTCGTTTACCGTAACAATTCCCTGAGGTTGATCAAAAACTTCTATAAATGCATTGGCAGTGTTGTTGTCCATTTTGCAGAGTTCGTGAGAGGGAACATTTTTTTACTGGAATTGATATACTATACTGACTAATCAGTCATACGTCTGATTGGCTAATAAATTCAAATTAATTTTACATTATTTATACAGTTTAAAGTTAGTGTTCACACGGGCAATTGATCTACATGACTACAGGTAGGACCGTCCCAAATAAAGAAATGATGATCCCGATCATGCATGTTTAGTTTAGCCAATCAAAATTG